TACGGATTTGACTATTCTATTATTGGGGTCTAGTTTTGAAATAGACTAGAAACATTGGCAATTTATAATATAAAGAGGGCAACTACCTGATTTGGGAGGCAGGCACAAGGGGGTCGTTGTGATTGGCTGTAGCAGTTGCAATGGCGGACCAATAAGCACCCCAACTTGGCCAAGACGGGAGGCGACATCCCTCCTTCGATATGAAACACTCACTGGTCCCAATAAATGTTTATTATTTCTGTTTCTGCGTTGCATCACGTCCGACCCATCTTAAACACAATAACGCCTCTTGTTCATTTATAACTTATAATTTATAACACAATAACCCCTCTCCTTCATTATGGAGGAATGTTCCATATTGTTGTGGAATCCTCGGTAAGGGAAATATTGCCAAGATGAGTTCGAGTTAATTTGAATATAATAACGATTTGGTCCTACCAGGCGGCGACATCTATCGGTCAGTGCCAATAATAACAATACATAAATATCTGTTCAGACTTATTTGTCTTTTGGTCAATCCTAATTAATAATCACATTAGAGAGCAAAATAATATGTGAATTAATGCACAAAATAAGAGGTAAGCCCACAGCTCAGAGTGGGCATTAAGATTTTGTTTAAATAAGACAAAAATATTTTAACTTTCGAATACCTTTCATATATCTTTTTTTTATTTTGCTTTCTCACTACCGGAGCTAGGGAAACATTTTATTCGTGCGAGAGAAAAGATTTGTGCTCAGAATCGAAATTTTCCACCGCGTTTTACGTTTCAGACATCAAGGATCAAATTTGGTTAGGTGTGTGTCTGTCTGTAGTCAAATCGATGTAATGGGCATATTACCAACTACCGTTCTTACAATTTTCATGAAATTGTCAGGAATTGTGCGGGTTGGTGTCTATATGGTCCCATATCAATTTATTGGAAAAGCTAATCATTTATACAATAGAAGTGAATTTATGAATATAAAAATGAAAAAAAAACATAAAAATTTAGCAAATGAATATTATTTAAGTAGTATATTGTTATTTATTAAAAAAAAAATTTTTATAAATAACAAAGTAAAAATTGTTTCCCCTATTTTTAGAAAGAAAAAAATTTAGCACCAACAACAAATTCCTGACTTACATAAAGACAAATTTTCTTCTTGTCCAGATGATATTAACAAATAAAAAAAAAAAGATACAGATAATTTTAGTACAGGTCGTAAAAGCGGGTAAAACAGAAATGCTTGAAAATGACCAAAAAGGGCGAAATGTTACAAATTAAAAATATTTTAATGTAACCAAATATCTTTTTATTAAATTGTATGTTATTTCTTTTGGAATATGAAAGGGTAAACAAAAATACTGTTCATTAATTAATGGTAAATTAGATTGTAACTTCTAATTTAATTAGTTAATTTGTCTGTGTTGAAGAGACCATCGTGATAATATTATATGCATAAAAGCTTAAACATGTTTCGCTTATATCACTTATCCATGAAATATCTTTGGGATAGGGATATTTAATGTGAGAGTTCTTACAAGGGTATAAAAGCCATGCTTGAAAGCAAGAATGAATGGAAATTGATTGACGCAATTGTTTTTATTCCGGAAGAGATTCTTAAAACTATTTTCATGAATCAGCTACAATTTATTTTGATGATTTAGAGTTATTATAAATAAATGCGATCATCAGTATTAGAGGTACCAAGAATAAAAATTATGAAACTACATTGATCAGCACCTCGATGTAATTATTAATACGTAATATTAATTTTTAAAAATCTGAACGAAACAAAATATTTCACAACCTTACTGAAAAATTTTAATTACATTAATTGAATGTAAAATTAATTTTGTGTAATGTCTCTAATTAATACTTCATAGTGAAATTTCAAAGAAAAAGATTATAAGATAATCCATTTAATTTATTTAAACGGACGGCGTTTCTAACCTAGTCTGGTATTATATTTTAAAGTTCATAGTCTGCTTTGAAACATTAAAACAACAACTATTTCGTAACATTAAAATTAATATACAACTAATATTTAATATCAGATGACAATAATATAATTAACAATCAAATTAAAAGTTGAAAAAGAGAAAGAAATTTTATATTATTTTTTTAAAAGTAAAGACAGTTTATACTCGAAAAGGATATTATTGCCCAAATGAAGATTTTATCAAACGTAAATTTATATGAACTTTCATGTCTAAAATACCTTTATCAATTTTATTGCTCCTAAAGAAATTTTATCATTTACAAGTTTCATTTTTTTTTTTTTTTTTTTTTGTTTCAATGTAATAATGTTTTTAAACTATATAAAATAATTTTAGGAGAAATGATTATGTAGGCTAGAAAATTAGATGTTTAATATTTAAGATTCATCCTTTACTTTGATCCTAACATTATTCATGAATATTATTATTAGCAAGTGAATAGATAAATTAATAACGAAGGGAATAGATATATATTTTTGACTTTGACGTCTGTAACGGTTTGATGAATACAAATATGCTTGTTGTTTTTTTTCATTTACAGAACTGCCAATACAGAAAGGTTCTCATCTTTTTTTTATAATTTTCAAACGTTCCTTCATCAGAAAAAGCAAATGTAAGTAAGCCATTAAAAATCAAAAAGAATATCATTATAATAAAGAAGTATTATAAGAATAATAACAAGGAAAACAAACATTAGAGAGTAAAAGTGAATATCTGAGAAGTAAGTGAATCGATAACCATTTCAAGGTCGCAGCGACCCAGTTTAGGGACAGGGAAATATACACCTGTCTCGTGCTTCATCCCCTCTCAAGGACTCCATGACACAACAACGGGGCAAATGTCACTGGATCCCAACTCCATATATGTAATACCAATTATTAACTCGTATGAAATTAATTTTATGTGTTAAGAAATGAACTTCCATAATGTAGGTAGGCCCATAAATGGTAAAATGGTTAAGTCGCTCTCATTCCAAAGTTATGGCATTCTGAGTGTGTCCGAGAAACTTAATAATATATCTAATGAAATGAAAATATGTTTTATTATTCTGGGGCTTTTGTCCCTTTAGAACAAATTATAAGTACACAATGGAGGTCTGTGTAGTAATAAATAAATTAAATATTTACAATAATTGTTAATTAAAAGTAAAAATACAGAAAGAAAGAAAGATAAAAGAAAAGTGTACATAACATAAATAAACAGAAGTAGTCTCTGAGGGTACTTAAATAGTCCTCTTAGGTATATTTTGTAGTCAGGCGGATTAAGAAAGGAGTACTTGTTTAAAGAAGAAAGGTTTGAAAGAGGAAACTGATTGTGTGTGTCGAATATCAGGAGTGATAGAATTCCAGAGGAAGGTAGCTCTGAATCACAAAGGATTTGTCAAACGTAGCAGTTCGGTGAGGAAGATAGAGGTCGGAAGTACGAGATCTAGTAGGACGGAATTGGATGGAGTATTTAAATTGTAATCTGTGAAAAATATAAAAGAGTAGATAAGTTCTAATGATCTGGTACAGAAAGATAGCAAGGAAGTACTGACGGCGATAGGATGGATAGAGCCACTTCAACTCGATGTAATACTGGGTAATATGCGTATCTCTTGAGATTCCGAAGACAAAACGTATTGCGCAATTCATTAGGCTTTTAAGTTTTGCTTCGAAGTCTCCCGAGAATCCACCGTACACCATACAGCCATAGTGAAAAGAAGAGAAGAAACTTGGAGTTGACAGAACTTATATCGAAGGAGATAGCGTAGACGATTGAACTGTTTCAGGGTGGAGGTAGTACGACGGGAAAATTTGGGAGATGTGTGGTTTCCAGGAGAGGGTTTGATCAAAAGTAACATCCAAGTTTTTAACGGAAGTTTGGATCTTTCAATAAAAATAAATAAAAAATAATAATATGCTAGCTCCTTAAGAAGCAGGACCATCGTTTGATTAGTAGGCGTCCGAGATTTTACAAGGCGCCCTACTAGCATCTTCGAAATAAGGCAGTAGCATATTTTTGTATGCTTAAGAAGTATATAATATAATATATAATATAAAGTATATAATATATAATATAATACTTATTATATCAATATATATATATATTTGTACATTCACAAATGAACGATAACATTTTAACATTCAGTCAGCTTGTAATTAAATGCTTATTTATAACATCTACTGGAATTGAGTTTAGAAATAATAATTTCTATTTGACTACTTTTCGTTTATGAAGGAATAAACAAATATGAACAGGATTAAACCAGAAAGTAAAACGATGATAAAACGAGCACCATTTTAAGAATATCATCGCATAACTTTCTGTTTTAGAGATGGACATTTGGCATACACAAACACACTTGCACAAAGAAATTATAGCTAGAATTAGTCTTTTGGACTCAGGAGGCCTTAAAATAATTATTTCAATTGAAAATTCAGATTTGTTAATTTACATGATAGCAATAATATATTTCTTATAAAAATAAGCGAAAGTAAAAAGAATTAAAATTTAAAAAAAGGTTCATTTATTCTCATGCTTATTTATATTATTTTTAGGAATTTATCATTAATCTTAATTCGGCAAATAAGACATATTTAAGCGCTGAATTATGAATCCATACCGCTAAATCATAATCAAACCTCAGAATTGAGTTTTTAAGGGAAAATGTTCTTGTTCTCAGTCGTGATAAGTTTAGAATGTCTAGGAATATTTGGCTGTACATTAAGAACCTTGTCTTATCTTCAATCAGTATATTGAATAAACATTAACTTGATTTTCAAATTTCAAATTATTGCGTTTAATGCTGCTTTATAGCAAATAAAAATAAAAAACTGGGTCAATCAAATTACGCAGACATCTGTAAAGAGGAGGCTGCACTTGTTTTGACCGCCAGGGACCTTCTTAAAGAGATTGATTAATTTTTTTTTTTCGACTGAAGACTATATCCAATCCGAAGATGCAAATGCTCCGATAATGAACTGTCAATCAGCCCTGGAAGGGCCGATATAAGGGCCCTGCAGCCCTGAAGAAGCCATCAGTCCTCCAGCTCCCAGAGATCGAGATGTACTCCTTGTTGCTCCTCCTCACAGCAGTGACCTCCGCCATGGCCTTCAGCTTCGACTACTACCCTTGCAAACCCTGTAGGGGAGAAGAGTGCTACGTAGAACCGGAGGGCTGCAATTACGGCATCACCCGGGACCCTTGCGGAAGGATGCAGTGCATGGCCGGACCTGGACAACGATGCGGAGGACGGGACAACCATCTTGGGAAGTGCGGCGACGGCATGACCTGCAAGTGCGGCAAGTGCAGGGGCTGCAGCAACGACCGCATCCTCCAAGGCATCATCGAGTGCGACCCCAACACCACGCCGCTCTGCTCTTAAATCTGCCGGACCGCTAAAGTAGTAGCTTCACCTAGACTGTATTCTGGAATAAACTAATTTTGATACATCTATGATGTAAATTTATTCTCCCTTTTGAAATATTAATAACCATCTTAAGATATTAACTAAACGAAACAACAATATCTGGCAAGTATTTTTAGTTCTTGAAGAAACATCCAAACAAGGGTAAACATAATATTTGCTTTGCAGAAGTACTATCCTACACAGTTTACATTTCTCTTGTATTCAAAATATAGATTTATCAAGAAATAACATATTTATACCATATAAATAAAAAATAGAACAAATACAAAATAAAATAAAAAATATATAAGATTGAAATAAAATATAAAATATTTACACTCAGCCTTGAGAGCTTTCTAATTCATAAAGGACAAGACAAGACTGATAGATCCCAGCGCTTCTCACTCAGCTGCGTAAGAGGTATGGTAAACCAGTGGAGGACAAGAGAAGGTATAGACTTGAGTGGAAAAACTGGTCATTGCTAGAACTCTAATGGCATATTTACAAAAGGTGTAGGGGTCAGTACCATTAAATGCTTTGAAGAAGATTATAGGTATGGTTGGAGCAGGATCAGGATTAAAGTATTAAAATGATGGATAAGGTTCTGATGTAAGTTTGATAATTTGGATGAAATACGGTCAGTGACATTAGGAATACTGAGGTTATGTAAAGTTTTTTATGTAACATAAAATAGAACATTGACTATTGTAAGCAGGACTTCGACTAGAATCATTGGATACGTTTGTTGTTTGGTAATTAGCGGTTCTCCAAAGTATGAAGGCCCAAGTGGCTTTCATTGTAATTTTGCCAACGAACTTTAGAAGTAGATGCAACTAAATAAAAAAAATAATTCACCTAAGTTCAACATTAAGTAAAATAATTTCTATTTTATATTTGTCTAATAAAAAAAAATGTTAAAAAGTTCAGGATATATCAAGCTTATTATAATTATAAATGATTTAACATTTCATTAAAAATATAAAAGTTAGCAAAATATTTAAAACTGTGCCAATAAGTTCAGAAATCAAAATTTGAAGAATAGCGTCTTTATAAGTGGTTCCTAAGTATGAATCCGATATAAGAATTTTGAATTTTAAATTGTTAATAACACAATTTTATTAACGTTTACAGATATAAGTTTGGTTCTGAGTTAAAACTTTGACATAGTTGATACTGAAAGTGTGAGAATAATTGTACTTTTCACTAACCTTTGACGGCTATCTTTACCGTCCACGGTTACCATCCACTTCGAACAAGAAATAAAGTATAAGGCATAAGTATAATATAAATTTATGCTACATAATATTAATAAAATTAATACTACATAATAAACAGTAAAAAAAAAAACGACACATCTGTCATTTTCTTATTCTTTTTCCTTCCTTTGTAAAGAATTCTATTTTTTTCATGAGTCAATTAAATTATATAAAAAACAAAGAACCAATACAAACCATGGGTTCAGTACTTTGTAGGGAAATACTGTTTCAAAGTCAACGGAAACTGATTTGGTCGAGATCACGCTCAAAAGCCAGGTTTTCTCTCTTAATCAATTATTTAAATAAGAGTACCCACTTTATAGAGGCTGAGTGTACCCCAGGAGGAACTCCTGATCTTAAGGTCTATCCACGGCTGATGAAATATAATTAATGATTAACTACCGCAGCCGGTCTCGAACCCGCGACCTTGTGTTTAGGAAGTCAATGTCTTACTCACTGAACTACCCAGCTACATTCAGTAAAGTCTACATTCAGCAGTATATAATCTACGATAAGCTGAAAATTTATTTAGAAATACCTACATAGAAAAATAAATTAGTTCACAAAGACTAAGTTTTATTAAGGTTACAAAGACTCAAAGCTTATAAAATTTAAACATACGGGGAAATTTTTTCGCATTTGAATTCACCAGCCAGGCTCGTCCCAATAATCTAAAGCGAGATTGAGATAGGGAACTGCGTGATGTCCACTTATATGTGCGTGTTAAGGTAGTGTTCGGTTAATAAATGTGCAATATGCACTCGAGCGTTGTCGTGTATTTAAAATGAAATCATCACCGATCTAAGTGACAAATGGCACTATGTAGTTGGAAATGCGTTTCCCAAATGCGAGACTGAGACGAATCTTGGTCTTGCAAACTCAGTCTTGGTCTTGCGCAAAAATCTCGCAACAGCCTTGCAGTTACTTATTAGCTTATTGCTATAGGGATATTACTGTATTTTTTAGATAGAAGAATACTAACTAAGACCGATAAAAATTAGAGGGGTTGAATGCAAAAGTATATTGATTATACCAATTATTAACATATAATAACTACGATTGTCAACTATTTTGTATTAATTTTTTTTTTTTTTAATCTATTGTTTTTGCCAGTCCTACTCTCGGTCTTGCAACAGTTGGCAGCCCTGGTCGTGTAAAGTGCAAGATCAAGACCGATTTTACGCAACACTAGTAGTTAATAAGAACTGTCAGTCAAAAAATGACCTCTCAGTCAAGTTACCAGTCCTCTCGACTTGATAGTTTCTGATATCACTGTGCAGGTCGAAGAACAATACAAAGGGTTTCCAATTTTATTAGGCTCAAGCCAAGTCACTTTACCACTGAAGAATATAATAAAGAAAAAATCCACAGTGAAATTTTATTGTTTTCAAAAGAGTTGAATTTTGGTGAAAAGAAAAATAGTTTTTCTAAATATGAATTTATTAATGATCTTGCAACTGCACCTCACGGGATATAGACTTTGCTTGGCATATACGAACAACAAAAAATTGTAATTTTGTTGTTTACTTTTTCCCTGCTTGCACAAGAGAGGATAAACATTAACATAATACCAGGTGTGTCATTTTTTTGTTCAGCTGTTTAGTTTATTAATATACCTAGACACTGACGGCCTTAGCGACCCAGAAGTTGGCCGAGGTCCCCCTCCCTACGTACGTAAGATACTTGTTAAGAATTTTTAAAAAACTTTCAAAGCTTATAAAATTCATTCATTTTAGCTTCTTATTAAGGCAACTGAATAAGAAAAACATTAAATGAAAATTCCAATATTACTTAATATGAAATACTGTACTAGGTAGAAATTGATCGCTTTCCGGTCTGAACCTAGCGATCAAAGCGCACGTACTGAAGTATTTATTTTTTTGCTTCAGTTTATTAATATAAATTATTTGATTCAATATTGGTCTACCCCATACCAAACTGAAACGACTTGAAACCGCCCGACGTTTTCGACTACTGCAGCACTTACTAGAGAAACGCTCTAAGCTCACAATCAATTACAAACGACTCATATATATGACAATAATAAGACCTATTTGGACTTACGGAATTGAGCTTTAGGGCTCCACTAAACCATCGAATTCCTCTCGTATCCAATCCTTACAATCCAAAATCCTTCGGAGAATCCTCACTTGTGCTTACTTTGTCACAAATAAAATCATCCATAAAGACCTTAATGTTCCATATGTTTCCGATTTGGCCCAATCCAGATATCTATCCTTCCATAACAAACTGCAGAACCATCCGAATCCTCTCTTTTCAAACCTTGCTTCCTCCTCGATCCCTGATAATCCTCCGAGGCGTCTGAAAAGAAGATGGCCTCGGGACCTTCTAATATAGAACTTAAATTGAGTTCTACCAATGGGTAGTTTCTCTTCATGTTGTGCATGTCATGCTACCAATGTCACATTTACTTATTGTATTTTCCATGTAATACAGTTGTAAATCTCAATAAAATAAAATAAATAAAAAAATATTGGTCTGTTACAGTAGAAAGGCATTGCGTTTAATATTACAAGACCTCAATGATGTCTATAATAAGACTTATAACGTGGGTTTGTAATTGCAATGTGTGTAGGTTATTTATAAAAGGAAGTTCAAAAAGAAGGTTAAAGAGGAAAAATTCAGAGGTTTTATGAAAAATATTTATTCAAAACGCCCAATCATATTTTTTCCTGTTCAGTAGCAGACAGGGGTAGTGTTGGCGTCGCACTCTATGATGCCGGCCTTGAACCTGTCGATGCTGCAGCCCCTGCACTTGCCGCACTTGCAGGTCATGCCGTCGCCGCACTTCCCAAGATGGCTGTCCCGTCCTCCGCACCGCTGCCCGGGCCCGGCCATGCACTGCCACCGTCCACAGGCGTCTTTCGCGATCCCGTACTTGCAGCCCTCTGGTTGAACGTAACACTCCTCTCCCTTGCACGGCTCGCAGGGGTAGTAGTCATGGCTATGTACCAGGGCCGCCAAGGATAGAGCTGAGAGGATCACCAAGGGGTACATGTCGTTCTGTGGGATCGGAAGGAATGAGGACTTCTCCAGACCATCCCAGCCCTTTTATAGCCCTTACAGATTCGATTGACAGTCCATTAAAGCAATATTTGCATGTTAGGACGAGGGGGCGGATGAAGAACTATTTTTAAACCCCATCAAACGGAGTAGAGGTATTATCATAATTCTTATTGTCAACAGTTTAAAATACAATATATTTTCTTTGGTAATATTGGATGAAAAACTATTTTCAAAACCAATCAAAGGGAGTAGAGGCATCACCATGAGAAGTCTTATTGAAGTAAACAGTTTAAAATACAATATATTTTCTTCGGAATTATTCAATTTGCCACTTAATATCAGCAAAAGGGGTGACATTGTACCAAAGTCACCTAAGCTGTAACTAATTTGGTACATTGTTTATTTTAAAATTAAAATGTCTCCTACGCTCTTAAAAGTATCGGGACATTCTTCTTCTTCCCGATCAAGTACTTAGCGTACCTAAGATGTAACCTTGTCATCCCATTTTTATTTACCTAGAATTATAAATTAAAGAAATTGATAGGAAAAAAAAACAAAAGAGGTTTTTGTCGATTCACCATATTTTTGTTAATTCTTTAACCTACCCAGCCAGCCATTGAACCATCGTTTTAAATAATATTTTCACCTTCAGATAGAAAAAACGAAGGACAACCCCAGAAATGACGGGAATAAGTTATTAAAAAAATTAAACTTTATTTGCGCTTAACTTAAAAATATGTGTTCAACATGTATTGGATTGGCAAATAAGTCCTTTCGGTTTTTCTACTTATTTTTATGTCACTATGATTCACTTCTTATCTGATGAATTAATCCCTCATGTGGATTGTTTATCCTGTTTGTAATATGTCAACAACTATATCCGTTGAAACTAGCTTAGTATTGTGTTTACTATTGCAGTGAGAATATGGAAGAAAATATCATTAATAAATATCATTTTGTTGTATTATATTAAAAAAAGGTAAGCGTGCTGCAGAAGCTCATAGAAAAATTTCCAGTGTTTATGGGGACGACGCCTTAACCGAACGCACCTATCAAAATTGGTTTGCCAAATTTCATTCAGGAAATTTTGACCTGGTAGCCCACATGAAATTGAAACGAGCAATTTTAAGGCCATAGTTGATCCCACCTAATCACTGCGTGATTGCTATGGCCCTAAATGTGTCACACACAAGCGTAGAAAATCATTTGCACAAGCTCCGTTATGTTTCCAGGCTTAATAATTCGGTCGCTCACTCTCTAACTGAACTCAACTTGGCAACAAGCATTTCTGTTTGTGATCCACAACGGAAAAAAACGACCCCGAGTATGAAAAGGTTGATAACAGGACATGAAAAATGGATATTTTACGATAATGTAGTCCGTAGAAAATCTTGGGGATCTAGTAGTTAGACTCCTAGAATAATGTCAAAACTCGGATTGCGAAGATAATGCTTTCCATATGGTGGTATTATAAGGTTGTTATTTTCTATGAGTCATTACTACCAGTACAAACAATTGATTCAACACTATACTGCTCACAATTAACAAAATTGGATCAATAAATTGAAAATAAACGCCCAGAACTGACAAATCGGAAGGGTGTTGTGTTCCACCAAGACAACGCTAGACCCTACACTTCATTGGTCACTCGCAATAAATTATTGAGCCTTGAATGAGACCACTTATTCCGGTCTCTGCAGAAATCTATGAATGGAAAGAAATTCTAAAAGGAAGAGGGCATCAAAAACCACTTGGATCAGTTTTTTAGGAATAAACTCCAGACATTCGATGAACATGGCATTATGAAGTTAGTGGAAAGATTGGGAAAAGGTCATATTAAATAATGGTCAATATATTGGAGATTCAAATAAATTTTATTTCTATAATACTATGAGTTTTATTTCAAACTGAAAAAATGAAATGATTTATTTGACGACTCAGTATTATACTACCGAAATTTGAAAAATTCCTACATTCCCTACAGAAAGAAAAAACAAATCTTTGAAATCGGTCAATATTATCAAAAATTAAGCCTATTGTAATTGAACCATAGTAATCGAACAAGTTGTAAGAAACTGGTTTCCAAAGATTTCCAGTAATATACTCACTAAGCACACGTTGCATTTTAAGTGCGTAACATAAATAAAATTCCATGCACTTACGACTGCCCTAAAAACATAGATGTAAATGTAAATTACGGATGATTTGATGAGAGTAAAATCATTTAATCCTGAACTAATACGGTAAGATTGGACATGATACTCACTCCTTTTGTGGACGAAGTAGGACACCTAATATCTGAAACAACCTGATCTGGTGGACAACCTAAGGACTTAACAGTGTACTATTAAATATGTAAAGTACCACTAAAAAGGGATAATTACCGAATAGGTTCATAAAGGCTAATTAGGTAATTATGAATCTAGTCATAAATTGGCAAGAAGTAGGAAGCAATGGATATGATTTATTTCTAGCTAGAAGAATTTTAAATTATTCACCTATTTAAAATTTTAATTTAGAACCACAATTCCTTTGTTCAGATTACTAACACGTTCGAGACATGGATCGCAAACGTGACATTAAACAAATCAATATAACATTCTAAGTTGTTGGAGTGTAATTAGCTGAAGTATGGGCAACGATAATCGAAATGAAAGAAAAAAAAATGCCCAAAATTGTTTATTCATTAAATGTGAGAAATACAAGTGAGGAAGAAAAAAGGATAAAACAGTGAAGAATAAAATAACAAAATACAAATTCAATAAGTAATATTCTACATAATTAACAAATTATATTTAGTTATCAATATCCTTATTTAGCACTCTAATAAGTTTCAATGTAGCCGATTGGAAAAAAGACCAACGGGAAAAAAGCCTGAAAATCATAGTGTTGATAATGAAATATATCTCACTCTCATATAGGGACCTGTTTTAACTGAAAAAAAGGCCACTCAATGATTTCTAAAATATTTTCTGCCTGGACCAGTGTTTTCATTACACATACATGGCATTACTAATCCGTTGGACCGAGATCATGAATATATTTTTCACTACCTAATAATGTCTTAATTGCCTGACATTATCATTAAAAATCATTTAACATCTTATCTTTTTGGGGTAGTTTCACAATTATTAAATTGATAATAAAGTCTGTGTGCATCAATGTGCCCCTATGCTTTGTTAAGTTAAAAATATTACAGTCAAATTGATAAGTGTCTGAAGTACAATATCCGATGTTCTTCCAAAAAAATATGAAATAAATAATAATAAATGAACAGTGTTTCTTGGATTTTTAATTTTTTCAAACGTCTTTGTAAAGCTCCTTTCCGTAAGCACTTGAGTTGTGACGTTAGTTCTAAAAAAAGTAGGAAAGATCTTGTTTTTTATTAGAGAAATACCCATGATCATTTTCTTTTTAAATTTTAATGGCACGTTTCGGAGAGCATGACCAAGCCTTCATCCATCATGACCAAGACTCACATTTCTTTTTCAACATTTTTTTTTATTTTTTGCTCGGTAGCAAAACGGAGATCGTTTAAAGAACCTCCCAACAGGAGAACAACTCTTTTCCTTTTAGAATTTGATAATGACTCATCAAATCTACTTGATGGTAGAGATACTCTTTCATGAGACCTATTCTCATAGAATATTTCGTTTATACCTTTGAAATAAGAGTTTTATATTTTCTATGAAATTTTGCCAATGTCTTATTGGGTTTCTAAAACAACATTGAGAGATTGTATCCAGATTACTTTTATAAGCTCAATTAATTAATTGTTTTCTTTTTTTGATAAGTCGTTAAAATAATGACCTTATGTTAACAAAATATTAGTTAATATCTGGTTTAAAACATTTTTACATGCGAAGCATAAATCGTATTGATACTTTTTGAACGGGCGTCCAAGTTTCTTATGTTCACTGATTTTATGTATTCTTGTTTTTCTTTCATTAATTTTGCGTATTGATGTATTTAAATATGGGTTCCACGGGTTTCTGTACCTGGCAAGTTTCCTTGTTTCTCCTAAGGTCTTCCGTCTGTATATCTCTACTCGTTTCCTATATAGGAGGTTCTTGGACGCCCTCTTGATCTTCTACTCAGCGATACCTCCATTGTATTAATCGGATTTCTGTCCATAGGCCAAAAGACGACAAGTCCATTTTAGTTACCTCTTCTCTACAGTTTACATCACCGGGCGTGGTGTATTGAGCTCTTTGAGGAGTGGTGATTAAGCTCTTCCCTAATCCTGTCATTCTACATACGATTCCATGTTATCTCAAGAATTCTCCTAATAAATTTTATTTTCGAGGCAGTGACATGGCTTAAAAGCCTCTAAGCAAACTCAAAATCAAGCTCTCCGCTTGATACAGAAGTGGTCAAATGAAAGACTTTAATAAATAAAGCTTTGCGTCCAGTCCCAACTCTCTTTTACCGGTAACGGAATTACAGATCTGATAGTACACGACATTAACCTTTGAGATTTCTGAACCTAATTTCTAAGATCAACTAAACATCAACCAAGATCAACTAAGATCAACCAAGGTACGTGAAGTAAGTCAGCACTTCCATCAACTCTTCACTTCTGACAATCTGGACTTCCTGTTTAGTTCTACCGACATAAAGAACTTTACTTTTTTGTTTGAATTAATAGTCACTCCTTTTATCTATAATTTCATGACATTGCCTTGGTGTAAATCTATAACATAGTTCGAAATGTAGGCAAAAAATAATCTTCCATATTCCATAAGTTGCTTTTGATTGAAACCCCGACTAATTTATTAAATTAGAACTACGGTCAATAATTTCCATGATATTTTCTTTTATTAATATTACTCGTAGTTCTTAACTATAACAGATATATAAGATAATGTAATATAAGATAATGAAAAAAGTGATAATAGCAAAGCTGTATTTTTTTACATGGTAGAAATTATTAATCCCTTTATCGTAAAAATAGACTACATCTAGAGTGCACAATACGAAATGACAAGGGCTAAAAATAAAC